ACCCTGCTGCTTCCCCACAATGTGTTTGTCATGCAGCTTTATACACTGTTCCAAACACCCACTCACACTTCCCCAGTCTCACTCCACCCTACACTAGAGAAAGTGTTTGCCCATAGCTATGGAAAACAAGGTGAGAAGGGAAATATGACTGGAGTCATTTTCCTTAGCTTGATTATTAAAACAGTAAGGAAGTGCCAGTCATTGCCTCTGATACTGTGGAAGAATAGATCAGCAACCAGGAGTAGCCAATTTTTATTTAGGCCTACATTTCTACTGGCCTGGGGCCACCTGGTCTTGCTTTATGCATCTAGTTAAATGTGCTGTACATTTTTTTAAAACATGGATTAATTCATCGACATTTATTCAAAAAGGTAGAGATATTATGTGAATTATGGTAGTATGTACCCAATAAATGCCATTATCATGATATTGCATTATATCTTTGTTTTATTTTTTATTAGAATTGTACTCCAATTCTCTTTAAAATGCTTAGTACATTGTATGTATAGTTTCTATGAAACCTGCTAGGAGACATACAGAGCTCAAAGTAATTCATCTGACTGAGAAAAGTACACCGCCTGTATGTACTACCAATTAGGAATATAGATTTATATTGCTTTTGGTGGGGCTAGATGAATCACAAGTTGGAAGTAAGATTGCCAGGAGAAATATCAACAACCTCAGATATGCAGATGATACCACTCTAATGGCAAAAAGTGAAGAGGAACTAAAGAGCCTCTTGATGCAGGTGAAGGAGGAGAGTGCAAAAGTTGGCTTGAAACTCAACATTAAGAAAATTAAGATCATGGCATCTGGCCCTCTCAATTCCTGGCAAATAGATGGGGAATAAATGGAGGTAGTGACAGATTTTATTTTCCTGAGCTCCAAGATCACCGCAGATGGGGACTACTCAGCCAAGAAATTAAAAGACGCTTGCTCCTGGGGAGGAAAGCTATGGCAAATCTAGATAGCTTACTAAAAAGCAGAGACATCACCCTGCCAATGAAAGTGTGTATAGTCAAGGCTATGGTTTTCCCAGTTGCAATGTATGGCTGTGAAAGTTGGACCATAAGGAAGGCTGAGCACCAAAGAATTGAGGCCTTTGAACTATGGTGCTGGAAAAGACTCCTGTGAGTCCCTTGGACTGCAAGGCGATCAAACCAGTCAGTCCTAGAGGAGATCAATCCTGACTGCTCTTTAGAAGGCCAGATTCTGAAGATGAAACTCAAATACTTTGGCCACCTAATGAGAAGGAAGGACTCACTGGAGAAGAGCCTAATGCTGGGAACGATTGAGAGCAAAAGAAGAAGGGGACGGCAGAGAATGAGGTGGATGGAGTCACTGAAGCAGTCGGCATGAGCTTAAAGGGTCTCCAGGGGATGGTAGAGGACAGGAAGGCCTGGAGGAATGTTGTCCATGGGGTTGTGATGGGTTGGACACAACTTTGCGACTAACAACAACAACATTTATTCTTTTCCCCGTAGAATTTGCAAGAATCCAGACCTGCAAAAATCTGGATTTGAGATTTTCCTTCCAATGGAGTTTGTATATTTTTTCCATCTATGATTGCTGCTCATGGTTTAAGTGCAGGTGACACAGAATCACCACTGAAAAATGGTGAGCTCCACAGACAAAACAATTCCTAAATATATTTATTCAGAAATAAGTGCAGTGGTTTCAGGACGAAGTATGTTTAAAACTGATGAATAAATTAAAAACATTGGAACAGCTATTAACATTTACAACTGTACATCCAAGTGCATCCATGCGTTTTCTGTTCTGCACAGTAAATCAGTTCTATTTTTCTTATCACTCAGCTCAGGCAAAAGATTCAGGCAAAAGATTTTTGTGGCAAAAATCCAAGTATTTGACACAATGCTTACCACACAAGGGTCTGACATGAAATTTACCATGTGTGAGAACTATCTCTGACCCCCCTCCTCCATATGGGAAGACATAGGTAAATATGAAGAAGTCTTAAATCACACTATTAATTATAAATGTTTAAATCAATAGAAAGTTAGCAAATATTAATTTGCAAATAAAATTCATGGGTTTCTTATTTAGAAAACATCACTTTCTCTGAGTTTTGCCTCCTCTTGGGTATCATTTGACAGCTTTTCAAGATTTTGTTAATGTATCTTATAACAAAAGAGTTCTTGTATTGTCTGCTTCCTGACCTGACCTATCTTGAAGATCTGACAAATAAGGAGATGAGTTTAACTTGGCATGATTTATTTGATAATGCCCATGCTTTTGTTATTTGTAGCATACCTTTTCAAGTGCTGACAGCTAACTTGCCCAGTGTAGACATCAAACTGACAGGCTTAAGGTTTCCCAGATCCATCCTTCCTTCCTTCCCAGTGATTCTCAAAGTCCGTTTCCTATTTTTTCCTCCTTGTTTTTGTGAAATCATCTTTCTTTCTTTCTTTCTTTCTTTCTTTCTTTCTTTCTTTCTTTCTTTCTTTCTTTCTTTCTTTTTCTTTCTTTCTTTCTTTCTCTTTCTTTCTTTCTTTCTTTCTTTCTCTCTCTCTCTCTCTCTTCCTTCCTTCCTTTTCCAGTATGATTCTCAAAGTCTGCTTCCTATTTTTCCTTCTTGTTTTTGTGAAATCCTTTCTTTCTTTCTTTCTTTCTTTCTTTCTTTCTTTCTTTCTTTCTTTCTTTCTTTCTTTCTTTCTTTTCTTTCTCTCTCTCTCTCTCTTTCCTTCCCTCCCTCCCTCCCTCCCTCCCTCCCTTCCTTGGAATTGGAATTTGTCAAACAAAAACAAGAACAAGAGTAAGAGAATAAAAATACAAAGACAGGGACGATAGGCATATTAATGCACTTATGTACACCCCCTCTACTGACCACTTAAGTATGAAGTATGGTGCACGGAAGTCAATTTGTAATTGAAACTCTGAAAATTTGTAGCTGAGACAACTGAATCAGGTAAGGCATTTCATTCCAACTTCTTGAAAGCATTGCAATATCTTTCTGAATATCTCAATATCACACTGAAGGAATGGAGGAAAGCTTCACAAATAACTTATATTTCCTGAACTACTTATATGTCAGCCCTTCGACATAGGCCAAGTCAGGAAATAAATCTCACAAATCTGACACGAACTGTATAGAAATATGCTATAATAATAGAATCTTGAAAGCCTGACTTGAGTTCTCCCCTCCATATCTCTTATTATGAATTAGAAAGAAAGTCTGAAGAGTCTATTAATGTTTAAATAATGATCATCATTTATAAAATAGCATCTATTGTCAGAAAATCCAAGATAGTAAGCAAAGAAATTTATAGGGTTTTGCACTGGATTTTATTTATTTTATAACTTATATTTCTATGGCTCCAAAACCTGCTCCAAAACAAAAAGCAAAATAATTTTTAAAAATTGTCAGAAGAGCAAAATGGTGAATCTGCCTTCTTTGTCCCAACTCTGAGATTTTATACAGTGTCATGAAATCTAGGAGTAGTATTGGATTCAATGGCCATCATGTCACGAGTGAACCTTGCAATCAAACCAAATTTTGCCTCACCAATTACCGCATAAAAAGGGGTTGAGAGACAACCTTAGGTTAACCATATACTTCTAAGTACTTATGGAAAAAGACCAATGAGTTAATCCCTTCTCCTTCCACTTCCCTTTCCAACAACTATCTTTATAACACATCTAACATTCCTTTCAAATACTCCTGCTCCAGTGGTGGGTTTCAACATTTTTTACTACCGGTTCTATGGGTGTGGCTTGGTGGGTGTGGCAGGGGAAGGATACTGTAAATCTCCGTTCCTTCCCCACTCCAGCGGAAGGTTACTACAAAATCCCCATTTCTTCCCAATCAGCTGGGATTCGGGAGGCAGAGAATAGATGGGGGTGGGGCCAGTCAGAATTTTTACTACCGGTTCTCCGAACTACTCAAAATTTCCTCTACCAGTTCTCTGGAACTGGTCAGAACCTGCTGAAACCCACCTATGTCCTGCTCACTGTACACAAAACATCCTTCATCTAGCTGTACAGAATTTGTAAACAATGCTCCGCACCACAGAGACAGCTGTTGTTATAAAGTGAATTATATCTTCACAACAAAGTTTTTTGAAAATAATATTTTAAAAGAGTGTAGACTGTAGAGTGATTAATACTGCATCGCTTTCAATGAAATTTGGCAAACTTTGTTCCTAAATACAGTTCCTATATACAGTTAAGTAAACCTATTATTTCAAGAAAGGAACATAGGTATACTATGGGAGATGAGTACAACACTCTTCATAATCTTACTCTTACTATAGCTAGGGATAATGTTAATACTGCTGAGATATTGAGTCAGATTAAATTATCTTCAGAATTATCAGGAATAAGTTGGGCCCTTCTCAGATCTCTGGTTCAGACCTCATGAGTGATCAGGTGATCGCCACAGACTTCTAATATTTAGGAGGAGAGTTCAAAAATACAGGTAGTCCTCAACTTTACAACAGTTCATTTAGTGACTGTTTGAATTTACAATAGCACGGGAAAGAGTGATTTATGACCGTTTTTCACACTTACAACCATTGCAGCATCCTAATGGTGACGTGATCAAAATCCAGATGTTTGGCAACTGACTTATATTTATGATGGTTGCAGTGTCCTGGGGCCACGTGATCACCTTTTGGGACCTTCTGAGAAGCAAAGTCAATGGGAACTCAGATTCACTTAACAACTGTATTACTAAGTCAACAACTGCAGTGATTCACATAAGAACTGTGACAAGAAAGGTCGCAAAATGGGGCAAATTTCATTTAACCACTGTCTTGCATAGTAACAGAACTTTGTGCTCAATTACGGTCATAAATCAAAGATTACCTATAAGGGACAAATATATTTGTAACAAGAAAGTAATTACTGTATGAACAATACACTTATTACTGATGTTTGCACTAGGCTCATATATCTTGAGTTTTCCATTTTGTATGCAGATAAAGAGGTTGACAGTTTAACAAAATAGTGAACTTCAGAATTAAAAAGGATATACTTACATTTGTGACATATTCAATATCCTTCCAAATATTACATTCCCTAGGAAAGTCGGATAACTCTAAAAAATTATCCACTATCACTTGGCCAATCAAGTCATGCCTGGAGAAGCGGTCAAAGTCATAGACAGAAAAATGAAGTTTTCTTGAACTCAAATCTTTGTAAGGAACAGGAAATAAAAAAACTTCATCAAATACTGGGTTAAGAGTTTTTCTATGTACTTTAGTCTGATGTTTTGTTTTCCTATCTGGAAGTAAGTAGATCTTGACATAAGGGTCTGAAGTTCCAGAAAAATCCTTTGCTGGCAGGCTGACAGCTTTGTGAATCTTCACTATAAGTTGTTCTAAGTCACAATCATATTTTACAATAAAATTGATTTTCCCACAAGACTTGCTATTTTTTCTCCGACCATCATCTGTGTCTACCGATCTTTGCTTATACAACTCTGGCTTGATGCGTCCAATGCCTGTCAGCTGTTCCTGCTTCTGGATCTGTTGGATGTTGAAGTCAGGATTTGAGAGATTGAGCTGTCTTCGTATTGAATTGTGCCTTAAATGAAAGCAAAATATATTGATTGGTTGATTGATTGCATTTATCTCTTACTCAGTAATTTTAAAAAAAATCTGTTTTCAAGAGTGGACAAATAAAAGAAATGAAAATATACAACTACTATAAAGAGAGAAGGACAGAGAGAGAACAGGACAGGACAGGACAGGACAGGACAGGACAGAACAGAACAGAACGCTTTATTGGCTAAGCATGAATATTGGCCAAGCTTAGAATACTTTACTGGGGGAGAGAGAGAGACAGAAAATGTGATTTGATGAATATTGGATAAATAGATAGGAATATATTTTTTTTTTAAAAAAAGGATACTTCAGTATTAAAATCAAGATTTTGAAATATGAACAACTTGGGTTAGAGAGAGAGAGAGAGAGACGGAGGGAGGAGGAGGGAGGGAGAGAGAGAGAGGGAGAGGGAGGGAGTGGGACAGAGAGAAAGACTCTCCCACTCACAAAAACTGTAAACATTGTCTTGGAAGGGTATTGAATTGGTGCATTTAAATAATTTGCAAACAGTCCAGATGGCCCCTGTTTTGACTACCATAGTAACTAATGCTTTGGAGTTTCCTAAGGGAATCCCTCCCTCCCCTTTAGCTTTTAAAAAGGATTGCTAGGCTTTGGGATAGCTTTCAGAGCCTGGCCATTTCTATCAATCAGGCTATTACAGAAGTGTTTTGGTGTGTTTATTTCTCCAGCTACAAATCATCCAATCAGACTAACCTTGGTTACTTTTTAATTTTCCTGCTCTTTGTATAATTAGGCATAATTTTTAATTTTTAAAGGATGTGATGCTAAATGTAGAAATCTACCCCCCAAAAGCTATACTGTGCAAAAATCATATAATATTTCATTACAGCCAATATACAACCATGTAAAAAGAAGAAATGCCAATTAATGTCCTGACATTTAGGGTATCTGAATACAGATCTTAAAGACATTGCAATATTCAGAGATTCAATAGGCATGGAATTCAAGAAGGAATCATAAGACTTGCTGATAACAGGGATAATATCTCCTGTTCTGCTGGCTTGGAACCGACACTCAATTATTCTTATATTTGGGAGCTGCTTGCAAGATTGCAATATTTGAGATGAGGGTCTCTATTTCTAAGCAGAATTAGAATCAGGTTGGAGAACATTTTCTCCATGATTCAAACAAGTGAAAAATATCTGGCTATATATGTAAAACAACCAGTTGGAGCAATAGCACAGATTATTTGGGTGGCCTTAAATCAGTGAGGTACAGATAGTCCTCAACTTATGACCATAATGGAGCCCAAAATTTCTGTTGCTAAGTGAAATATTTAAGTGAGTCTTGCCCCATTTTTACCATCTTTCCTGCCACAGTTGTTAAGTGAATCACTGCAATTGTTAAGTTAGTAACTGGGTTGTCAAGTCAATCTGGCTTCCCCCTTGACTTTGCTTGTCAGAAGGTCACAAAAGGTGATCACATGACCCTGAGATCCTGCAACCGTCATAAATATGAGTCAGTTGCCAAGCGCCTGGATTTTGATCTCATGACCCATGGGGATGCTACAACGGTCATAAGTGTGAAAACTGGTCATAAGTTACTTTTTTCAGTGCCATTGTAACTGAACGGTCACTAAATGAACTGTTGTAAGTGGAGGACTATCTGTACAGAGGGGGAGGGGGCATTCTTCTCTGGCACAGACAAAAAGTAGGCTGGTGGTGGGTGTGGAATCCAGTTGCTACTGCCATGTTGGTTGAGGTTCACCAACAATGAAGGGAAAAAGTAGTGCCTTCAAGTTTTGACTTGTGGTGACTGCCTCCTGCATCTTTCTTGACTGGATTTTTCAGAGGTGGTTTGCCAGCTCCTCCTTCTATGGCTGAGAGAACTGACTGGCCCAATTCTACCCAGTTGACTTTGTGGCTAAGGGAGGACTAGAATTCACAGTCTCCTAATTTCTAATCTGATGCTTTAACCACTACACCAAACTGACTATCGGCACTGAAGGGTGGTTTAAAAACTATTTGTTTCAAATATCAAATATGCTAGGGATGTAATTGCCTCCTACCGTTACCCTATTCTCAGTAATGTAAGAAATTACAGCACCAATGTATCTTACAAAGAAGGAAAATAATAATTTTTAAAGTAAGTTGGGAACATTCCTGATGGTTCCAGTTTATACTTATTCTGCACTGTTATTGGCAGTGGGAGAATCCTTCTACATTTGAATGAGACTCACACTATCGCCAGAAGAGTAAAAATTATGCAAAAGAGCATTTGCAGGTAAACTCATCTACAAATTGCAGCTGGAATGCCTGATGTTCGGATGAGAACCCCAGCAGGAGCCATATTAATTCATTGGCCAACCTTATAGAACACAGAGTATCTTGTAATGATGGCCCTGCTTTCTAACATAAATTTCAGAATATCCCCCAGTCGTCTATTAAAGAATCTCAGGGTAGAACACCATAACTAATAATTTTTTTAAACATGCTGAAAAATAGCAAAGAAACGTTCTTTTGTTCAGTTTTTCCTGTACCAGTCATCTTTCCAGCAGGCGGAGGAGAGACAATCCAGTTGTAAAATTTGCTAGAAGTCAAAGGCAACAAGAAAAACAAAAGAAAGCAGTCATAAATAAATCATACCTGCCAACATTTCAGAAAAAGAAACGGGGATATGAGAACTTCAGGGTCTCATAATGTGCACAAAACTGCTTTTGTTTTCTAGTAGGTATCATCATGCTGCTGCCTCATTACAGGAAATTAAACAATAAAAGCACATACAGACAAATGAACATTAGAGGAAAGGTTCACTGCAACATCCCTTTTTTTTCTAGCTGATGCAATACCACCTGTAAAATTACTCTTTTGTGAATGTTAGGATAAATTGTTATTTGCACAGTAAAATCCTAAACATGATTATTAAAATGATACTCCAATTGGGGTTGGTGAGGCTTATTTTGAGAAATAAATGCTTTCTCAAAGGATTGCAGCCTTCTTATGTAAAATGGAGTAACACAAAGTAATGGAATTTTCAACTTTGAGGAAGCTTCTGAAAAATATAAATGTTCCTTTGTCCCATCTCTCCCCTTCAAGCTCCTGCCTTAAAGTATCAAAACAAAATATCATCAGGAAGACATTAACTTTTTCCTCATTTGACCTGCCTCAGAATGCTGCCCAAAATAGCCAATAGTTCACAGCCAAATCTCTCTACACTGCGCATAGCCCTTTTCCAAATGTAATAAACTCCTGAATTCTTGGATGCAAAACTCCTCACCCATCACTAAAATGTATACTGGAGGTAACGAGTTAAGGTTAAGTTAGCATTTTTACTATTGTCAACCCATCTTTGCTCTTAACTGGCTGCAAAAAGATAATGCTTCTTCTTTGATCAATGGGCATCAAATTAGCAAACCCAGAAATAATGCCCTAGACTACACAAAAAGAAAGAAAGAAAGACAAAGAAAATAAAAGGATTCTGGAATCATAGTTGGAAAAAATTAGCAGATTCAGGAAATTGATGAATACTAGTAACTATCATAATTTGTAGGATTTCATTGTCACAAGATGTGGTCTAAGCATTAAATTATTGGCAGATAAAAGGTGAGGTAAATTTATGATAGATTATGTCACAATGGATTATTATCCACGTTTATGGTATCAATGCTAGTTCTTTACTTTGGAGAGTTGATAAGAATACTTTATGTTGTAGAGGCAACTGGTGCACTTTTTATTAATGTATGGAGGCAAACAGCTTTTCTGTTATGTGTCAATCAGGCGCTACAAAGCACTTGAAAGGAGCACTTCACACAGGTAGTCTTCTACTTATAACCATAATGGAGCCTGCCTGTTATGGACATAAATCATGACAATCCTGATGCTGGTCATCATGTGAATGACTTGATTTCATCACCTTTTTTGTGGCAGTTGTTAAGTGAATCACAGTTGTTAAGTCAATGCCGTGATTTAGTTAAGCAAACCTATTGTTCACTATGGAGCATTTTTATCGAAAATGAAATGTAACTGGCAGTTTTCAGCCAAAATGACATAAATCAAGGCCAATCGGCCATGTGACCACAGAATGCTGCTAATATGGGCTAGTTGCCAAGCACTCAAAATACGGTCACATGACTACAAGTGGACGGTCATTCCTGTACTATGGAACTGGATCTTAAGTATCTTTTAGAGCAGCAGCCATCAATCTCTTGGGGCACCAAGGACCGGTTCCGTGGAGTTTTTTCTGTGGACCAGAGGGAGCGTGGTTTTGAGTGGTGGTTGCATCCCGCAGATAGGGCTTCACTTGTTTGTGTGGCCCGGTTTCTGGCATGCCACGGACCGATGCTAGCCCATGGACCAGGAGTTGGGGACCCCTCTTTAAGAGGATCCATCATAACTTTAAATGGTGCTAATAATGACTATACATAAGCTAAAGACTACCTGTATAGTATATTAGTGTGGACAATTCATCCCTCCTTGAAGGTTAAATAGCTCCTTGAATCCTCTGCAAGATTCAGTGTAAGCACTTCAAAAGCCTATGGGTGTTGTGATTTGCCAGCAGCCTGTGGAGCTGGCTGCAGAGTCGGACAGCAATGAGGCTGAGGAAGAACATGGGCCAGTCCTGGAGGCTGAGGAAGGCCCGGATGAGGACTCTGCGTTGGAGGCAGAGATGGGGCCAGGGCCATCAGGGAGTGGACTCCGGAGCCTCCAGAGGCTGACAGTAGAGAGGCAGAGGAACAGGAGGAGCCTGTTCCTAGTGCACGTATGAGAAGAGCTGCCAGAAGGCAAGAGCAGCTAAAGCAAAGAGGACGACTCGGGAGTAGGGCCAAAAGAGGATTGGTCCCTCCCATAAGGTTTAAAAAACCAGCAATGGCTCTTGGGCTCTTTGTCGGAAAAGAACGTTGATCGACTTGTTCTTGTCTTGTTGCACTTATCTCTTGTCGGCGTCTTCTGCTTCTGAACTTTTGCCAAGAGAAGCCTTTGGCAGTTTGCCTAATTATTTCAAGGTTGGTGATTAGATTGAAGAATTTGTTATGAAGAATTTGTTTTCATTTAGTTTGGACTACACTGAGAATGAGTTAATTCTCAGCTGTTCTAATAAAGTCTGTTTGTTTTGGAACTGTTTGCGTCGACTACTACCTACTTGGGCCTGGGTACATGGACAGTTGCTTCCCTGGCACTCTCAGGTACATGTTCATGCAGCTGAAACAGCCATCAAAGCTGTTACAATCCTATCAGAGGATGTTGTGGCTGTAATGCTTCAAGAAAATGGGCTGGCACTTAAATCTAACATAAATGTGTTTTACAAAGCACCCCTTTTAAATGCTTGGCATAATCCTATTTGCTGTGTCTCATTAGCTTTGGGATTTGTTATTTTCAGCAATGTAACAATTCAGCCACAAGTTTTATATAGTCTGGATAATCTTTATGTTTATGCTCTGCCCACTACCATTCATGCTCCCACCTTTTGTTATGTTCCCCTTGATATTCAGAAAGTCTCCCTTGGTGACTTCACATGCCTCCCACTCAATCAAAGCTGTGGCTAAAACCTAACACTTTCCATTTCTTATCCTCACAAGTGTTTTATTAACCTGTTCTATTTTTGCTGACATCTTTGCAGAGATACATCAGGACTCACCGCAGCAGAGATAAGTGTAAATGAGCATACAGTACTTTGCAAGATTAAATTAGGACTGCTTTCACATACTACGTTTGGCAATGTTATCTGGTTTAGAAAATAGCTCTTGCTATACATGGCCTGTAAATGAAGGATTGTTCCTGCAACACATACACTTCTGTTTCGTTCATCAAGTTTGCTCCCAGTGTCCCTAAATTCTTGCAGCAAGGTGGCTTTTCATGTGTGAGCACCAAACAATGCTGCATTTCTTTCCTACACATCACAAATTAAAAGAAGAAGTCACATTTTAAGTGTATTTATTCATTTATTCAGTTTTTTTTTAAAAAAACCCTGCCTTTATTACTTTATAATAAGTATAATAACATTCCTGTTTTCACAACAACCCTGTGAGATGGGTCTTGAAGACTTTTTAGTATTTCATTTATGACTATTTCCAATGGAACACTTCCTCCCATCAACGGAGGCTTTCCATGCTAATGAATAAAATCAAAATACTGAAATTGGTGGAGAGCCTCTGCAGAATCTATATGATTTTACTGAGACCAACCCAGAGTTGTCTGAAAGATGGGCAGATATATGTTTTTAATGAATAAATGATTGAATGAATGAATGAATGAGGAGCAGAAAGAGGCTCCCCATTCTGACTCAACAGGTCCTAAATATACTTGCCTGGGAGTAGGATTCATTGAATTCTATATGATGCTTACAAAATAAGGCTTGAGTATGTTCCTTTATGCTTGGATACTAGTGTTAAGGCTTCTGTTAATCTATTTTTTGTTGTGAACAACGTATAAAAGGATTTCTTGTTTCTACACCACTTCATGTGCAATGACATTGAACTAAACAGATCTCTTGCTCTGTGGTATTACACATAAAGTAGTTATGAGAGTGCATGGGAGGTTCAAAACAGGTAAGATAGTGGGGCAGACATTACAATTGACCCTGCTCCTTTATACATGTGTCTAATATCAAAGCATATAAAGTGGGATAGGGCTTCAATTATTGTCATCTTGCCTGTTTTTATTTCCCTTGCAGGTGCCACCTGATGGGATTAAAAACTATTGAACAGGCCGAGACTTACTCTGCATTAACAGAATGTGCCAGCATAGGTTTATGCTTGATAAGCCTAGAGTGGTTATGGCAAACCTATGGCACGCGTGCCCAAAGAGGCACGCAAAGCCATGTTGCCCAGCACGTGTGGCCTTGCCTGTTTGTCTTCCAGGTTTCTGGAGCACATGCACACACGACGATCAGCTGTCCTTTGTGCGCATGGCAGTGCCGAAACCTGCTGTGTGCTGATTGTTGGGTGCGCATCTGCACCAGAACCTGGAAGTTCAGCTTTTCTAGAGTGCGTCCCTTTGCACGGGCAGCAGTGCCAAAAACCAGCCTGCGCATGCGCCCCGGCCAGCTGATCGTCAGGCAGCATGCACGCTAGAACGCAAAAGTTTGGCTTTTCTGGAGCGCGGCCCCGACGAGCACATGCACAATGTTTCCATGTGACCTTCGTCATCACTGACCTAGAGCCTTCTCGTCTTCTGTATGAATGTGTATGTGCATTTCTACATATGTATGCAAGAGTGTAGTTCATATATAACAGATGGTTTACATCAGGGGTGTCAAACCGGCTCGCATTATGGGCCGTATCATGACGTATCACAATGTTTTTTGCCTTTGCGGAGCCGGGGTGGGCGTGGCCTGCAGGGGCTGTATCTGGCCCATGGGCCACCAGTATGACAGGCCTGGTTTACCTGAATGTATACAGATGCAGGCTCAACTAATTTTATAAAAGGAATTATATAGTTCATAAGCAATCTTGAGGAAGGGTAAGTCATTAATTCAAAACATTTACTTGATTTGCCTATTTAATTTGCTCTGGCCATTTTGGGGGCATTTTGTACAGTCCCATAAACATGAGCTCTTGTGGCGCAGTGGTTAAAATGCAGTATTGCAGGCAAACTCTACCCACAGCCTGGAGTTTGATCCTGATGGTGCTCAAGGTTGACTCAGCCTTCCATCCTTCTGAGATCGGTAAAATAAGGACCCAGATTGTTGGGGGCAATATGCAAATAATGCTTACATTATAAACTGCCCAGAGAGCACTGTAAAATACTATGGGGTGGTATATGAGCTTAAAATGCTATTGTTATGCTACAGATCTTTAGGGGAAAAAATGATTGCAGACTGATTTTGGTGATAGTTTTCAATCCCATCTGAAAAATTAGAAGATTTTTGCTCGTGTTTTTCTAACCTTCTTTCTGTCCTTTCATTTCTATGAATCTAATTTTCAATTCAAATTCTTCTTTAAAAAAAAAAAATAGATGGTTGTGTCTATAACACCAAATGCAGCAACAGTGCAAAGGGAGAAAGAAAGGAGACCCTGAACTAGAAGCTTGTTTTATTCTTTTCTAACTAGAGATTCAATAAAAAGTTATTTTTTCCCAAAAGTGAAATATTTCAGACAATATTTGCCTGATAAATCATTATTCAGAACTCCCCAGTTAGAATACCCTGTGATTCCCCATGAATGGGATTTTTAAAATGACAAAGAATCTTAGTCAGTTTAGTCAATTTTAGTTTTTAGTTTTTAATGGTTATTAATTGTTTAGTTTTAATTTGTTAATGGGTTTTAATTCGCACTGTTTTAATTCGGGCCAAAGTATATAATTCTTTTAATTAATTTTAAATTTTGTATTGTTATGTATTTTAGTTTTGGCTGTGCACCGCCCTGAGTCCACTAGGAGAAGGGCGGTATATAAATTGAATAAATAAATAAATAAATAAATAAATAAATAAATAAATAAATCTTAACACTAATAGATTAGGCATGTGCAGGATGAGTCAAGTGGGTGCCAAGAGCATTGTGGTATAAGTACTACTCTTTTGTCCGTGGGCTACAACATTATAATCCTGCTTAGGTCAAAAATGAAAGCAGCAAATTCATATGGATGCCACTGACCCTATAGCAGTGGTGGGTTTCAATTTTCTTTACTACCTGTTCTGTGGGTGTGGCTTGGTGGGCATGGCATGGCATGGTGGGCATGGCAGGGGAAGGATACTGCAAAATCTACATTTCCTCCCAGATCAGCTGGGACTTGGGAGGCAGAGAATAGATGGGGGTGGGGCCAGTCAGAATTTTTATTACCGGTTCTCTGAACTACTCAAAATTTCCGCTACCGGTTCTCCAGAACTGGTCAGAACCTGCTGAAACCCACCTCTGCCCTATAGAAGAGATTCAGGAGTCAAAGTGTTGACAACAGTTTTTGGTTAAGTTTTAATCCTATATATAAAACAAACCAATGGGCAAGTTTCATTAGAACTTTTCAATGCCCAATGCCCAATTCTGTATGGAAAAATGGATTTTTTTATAAAAACACATCTGTTTCTAGTTTTCCAACTTTGTCTTTGACTAATCTAGTAAAAGCTATATATTTTTTTCTTCCTTCTTTCTCAGTCTTTTACAACTTGCTTTCTATTTGCTAGATTCCTTCTTTTTTTTTTGAAATAGGATCTTGCTCAAGCCCAAGGAAAAGCATAATTTATCACCTCCATACTTAACTTCTCTTTGCTCAGATTTCTATTTCTTTGCTTCATCTCCAATTAGACTCAGCTCCTAAATGTTGATAAAGCAAGGCATCTTCTAACCTTAACATCATCCTTAGAATCTCTGCTTTGATGCTTCCCATCAAATAAAAGAAATGTAAGACAATAGGGAAGGAAATGCTACCCTACCCATATATATTTCTCCTTGGCATTAAGGATATAGAAGGGTAAGAATTGACCTTTTTGCTCTCCTCCTTCATTATCCTTACACAGATATCAGAGTACTGACCGAGCAGAAGGTGTTGGCTCTGTGATTTGTCGATGCATCCGAACATTGTGCATGCAGTTCTCCTTGGTCCCTGCCTTAGCATCCAATGGAATGTCTGGAGAAGTGTGGCTAATTTTCATGGAAGAGTCAGGGTAGGTAGTCGGCTGTCCCAGGAATTCCTCACTATAGTCTTGGTCATTGGTCTCTGTGTCTGTGTAGTTGAAGGATTCCTGCTTGTCTTTGTTGCCTAGCAGGCCACGCTCTCGCCATGGAACCCAACAAAGCTTCCAGGACACAAACAGAGATACCCCAAACAAAGCAAGTCCACATGCGGTGACCACCAAGGACAGCAAACTTACTGTGATATCTGGAAAGAAGATAAAGTAATACATGTTAATGCTCAAAGAAGAGATGTTCTCCTAAAGCCTACTGTAGACCAGGACTAAGCATTTTTTTTGTATAGCAAGCCCAAGGAAAACATCCCAAGCCTTTTTTTCTTCTAAATGCCTCATTAAAGGTTATTTTGCCCATTAAAGATTTCTGCTGAAGTATATTTAACTATTGCTATCGTGCCTCATAAGTATATGAAGGACTCAAATGGATCAATCCAAAAGCCTACATTGTTAGTGAATGCATTCAGTGATTGCATTCAACTAACACCTCGCTGCAACAATCAGAGATGGGATTTATACAATAAAAATAAATGTATATTTATTTATTTGAATTCATTAGCTGTCCAGCTCCAATGGACTCTGATGTCTAAATTATTTAAATGTAAATAATGTAAAATCACTGATTTGATCGTTGCCACCAGAACCGGAGAAAAAAGAATTGATTGCAGTAACAATGAAAAAAAGTATTGGCTTGCAGCCATACAGAAGTCTTTATGAACCCAAACATCCACATACAAAACTTTTAAATGTTCACATCCCTTTGCATGCAAATTTTCATACCAGGATCTATCTAATACCCTCTTTGTATTTTATCCAAATCAGGAAACTATAGCTAACAAAATTAGCATATTAAAAGTGGCTTCAACTTGGTTTAATATCCTGACCTGTTCTGAAATTAGTACTCAGAGTTTCAAGGTTTTTGATAAAATGGGACACTCTAATTAAAGGAAGACATTCAGCTTTGTTTATTCACTTGCAGAAAGAAAGACTGTGCGTAAGAGGAAAGAATTGTTCATATCTCAGTATGTTCAACTGACGGGAGATTTGGCTGTTCAGCTTATTTGCAGCTCAGAAGATTGACTTAGAAAAAGGTGATTAGTTATGAAACAAATGGATTTTTGTTTGGTTTTTCTCTGTACACATGCAAGAACATTAAACAACATTGCTTATTTGATGTCTAAATATAGAATTTTGCAAAAACGGGGACTGACAAGCTTGTTCTTTTAATCAGACCAGTGTTTGACTGAGGTTATAAAAAATTGTCCAAATTAATAAAATTAGGAAAGTGCTAACATTGTTAACAGGAAAGAAATACTTTGTATAGAAACATTCAGGCCAGGAAAAACACCAAGAAACAAAACTTCTAAATAAACTATGTGCATAGATACTTTTGTCAGTCATGTGAAATATGCCATACAGTCCCTTAACAGTTCAATCCAGGTAAAAAAATCACTATTTTAGCAGGCTCTCTTGAGTTGAGCTCAAAAGAATAGAAAGGACTTTGCATCTGAGGTGCTTGGACAACATCCCAGTCCAGTTTACAGACTGGGCTTTCTGGGGATCTCCAATCCAAATAATAGTCAGGTCCAACTTTGCTTAGATTTTTTTTGAGATCAGCCAAGGTTCGTGAAGGAACTGCTTGCCATGACTCCTTGACCTTTATATATCTTACAATGTTTGTTCATCCATCTCAACTCCTGTAAAAATGTAACATAGAGAGTTAAGTCATGATTGCACTAAGAAAATCAATGAAATACCAGCTGGAGAGGGATTTCTCCCCCCCCACCCTCCACAAAGTTGTTTAAATATAGTCAGAGGTCTCAACAGCTACCAGAATGGAATAGAACTGAAGAGGTACTAAGAGTGAATTGTTGGAAGTAATCTAGTTTCAATTAAAGATGTGACTGCTTTATAGAAGAGGTGTTAGAAGAGTTTTATTGGGTTACAGTACTTTACTTCAATGAAATTTTGATTGCATTCATCAAAGCTCTGGGGTATCTGTCCTTGATTTTTCATAAAGTGGAGGTCATCGCTGCTTTTTCATAAAGCACATTTTTGAGGAAGCGTGTATCAGCTTTATGTTCGTTAATCTACAGAAATCCAGATTGAATAATAACATTGATACAATAGCTACTTAAAATCATCACACAGTTTAGTAAATGAGCCTGTCCTACTTGGGTTTTTTTCTTTAGTCCTCATAGCTACAAGGAAATTTAAAACAACTATTGCTTGGGTGCAATCAAACCATAGTATGCCATTACAGCTAGTTCCTTGATTTATGACTACAACTGACCCTGAAATTATGGTTATAAGTCGTGCCAGTCATTAAGTGGGTCATCACTGACCACAGTCATATTATGACCTATTTTGCAGCAATCATTAAGGAAATACTGCCGTTTGTAATTAACCCAATTATCTGCAATGGGCATTTATTGTCAGAAACCAGAAGTAAACACCAGTTTCCAGCAAAAAATGTGATAAATTGCAGCCACATAAATGCTGGCCAAGTGTCCAAAAATAAGATCATGTGACTGCAGGAGAACTTCAAATCCAGGTCATTGGTAGTTTTATTTGGGTCCATCGCTAAATGACCAGAGATAAGACGAGGATTACGGTATACATCTGAACATATTAAAGGATGGTTTATTGATATAAGCCAGAATCAGAAAACCTTTATTTTTGCCTATGTTTACATGAGTAATAAATAGAGATAGGCTGTTTCTGAACACTGATTATAAAGGCATGATGTCTCCTTTCTTTCTTTGTTTTGTTTCAGAAGTGTCTACATCCCTGCATTCAAATAAAAATAAAAAGGACAGTATCCACTGTGGACTGTATCTTCTTCTTTTTAAAAAAACAACAACAAACATTTTCCTTTAGTTTTTGGTTGCATGTTGGGAAAGAAGGTGAGATTCTAAAGCTAATTGGATGAAAGGAAGCTTTAACCTTCCATCCATGTATGCATGGAAGTTCTAATCTGAATTGGGCCTTCACACTAATTATATAGATAAAAATATCTGTACTGCGTCCTGTATAGTAACTTAATGTATCCTTAAAAGAGGCATTATCATATCCAGTGGTCTTTACTACAAAACTGGGTTGCTATCTTGAAACCGCATTCGGAGTTTATACATATATGTTTTTAGAAATTTTGACTTCCTTTTTTAAAAACTTCTTTTCCTTGTATCAAGGCAAGAGTAGCTGGAACAGTATTGCTCAACCTTAGGGAGTTTAAGATGTGTGAACTTCAACTCCCAGAATTCCCCAGCCAGCATGCTGACTAGGGAATTCTGGGAGTTGAAGTCCACAATTTAAACTTCCTAAGGTTGAGAAGCATTGGGCTAGTGGGGATAACATGGCATAGTGGGGGTAGAGAAAACAATGTGCTCATTGGATTTTTGAAAAAGATCTTTGGGAAATTACCTGCATGGATGCCATGGCTTTTATGTGTTACACAATTATACAATTATATATTAGATAACCTGGATCTATGCGATGATGGAATTCAATTTTTTTTTTACTACCAGTTCTGTGTGCATGGCTTGGTGTGCATGGCTTAGTGGGTGTGGCAGGGGAAGAATACTGCAAAATCTCCATTCCCACCCCACTCCAGGGGAAGGATATTGCAAAATCTCCATTCCCACCCCACTCTGGGGCCAGCCAGAGGTGGTATTTGCCGGTTCTCCGAACTATTCAAAATTTCCGCTACTGGTTCTCCAGAACTGTCAGAACCTGCTGAATAGCACCTCTGGATCCATGTATATGTGAACTAAAGCAATTGTGCTTTTAACAGCATTCTTACATTTCTCTTCAGGATGAGAAATAGGCTGAGAATGATGGGAAGTGATTATGTCTTTTCAGTTAGGTATCACGTCGACCCTTTTACATTCTCACAGCACCCTAAGATAAAATGGAAGCATTGCCATCTCCAAATGTGCAACCTTTGTAGCTATGAATGTCATTCAATATGGGACATTGCCTGCTGTTCACAATTACTTGCTTCCCAGATTTCTATAGTGATGCATCAGGGTTCATAGAATTGGCTCATACATGGCTGCCTCAAACCAATGACCTTACTCTTGATAAGACTGCCTTCTTTTCAGTATATTTGAGGAGCTTTCAAGGGTGTTATGACACAAAGCCAGGGCAGAAAGAAAACATATTTCTGCCAACTTAATTCTTTATTTAAAAATTTGAAATCTGACATTTGGAACTCTTTTTTGGTTAAAGTCTAAGGACCCCACCCCACCCCTCTCTAAAAACTGAATGTACAGAAGATGTATTTTCTCTGCAGATTGAAAGCAATAGTTTAAAAGCTTCCCACAGATTCAGAAACAGTATTTTGGAAATATACAGTCATCATTCTCTTTCTCTCCCCCAAAGGAATAATGCGAACGAGAAAAGAGAGACACTGTTAAAAAGAGTCAAAAAAAGAGACAACAGGAAAAGGGGGAAATGAACAGCAATCCACTTTAGACATACACTGAAACAATGTATACACTCAATATACTGAAACACTTCAAAAAGCAAAATGAAAGGAAACAAATATGAAGTGCAACAATTTTTTTTGCTGAGCACATTGTAAGCCGCCCTGAGTCTTCGGAGAAGGGCGGCATATAAATCAAATTTAAAAAAAAAAAAAAAAATTTTTTTTTGCCCTAGTCTAGGGCAGAATTATTATGGAGTTGAGACAAGGAAGGCAGAGGGACAGTGCAAAGAAGACTATGATGAAGGCAAAATAATCATAAACCATTTCATCTAAGGCAACTCAAAGACACACATCCCAAATGTTCTTTATTACTTCTCTCTGGCACAAGAGATGGGTTTTTTCTCACTTCCTCACATTGATTGTCAAATAATACTGGAGTAACTCTGGCTTTATGCTCTTTTTTTTTTTATATCAACAAAGAAAATTTTCTGCTTGCCATATAGAGTATTTGCTGCTCATCTTCGTCATATGTCCAAAAAAGAATTCAGTGCATTGTCTCAACTTTCCTATTTATTGCCTAATCAGTGTAAGCTACCAAGCTCTAAAATCAGATTCTTAAGGATATGATATGCTTTTCATTTAGGTGGGCACTTGTCAGACATAGAATATTAGAATACTAATGTGTACTCTTCTCACATCAGAATTCTGGCTTATTCTGCTGGTATATGCTGCTCCATCATCCTCATTTGATTCTTCCTGCTGGTT